CTTCCAACCCAAACCAGTCTGTGACTGTGATTGCTGCGCTGTCGGGAGTGCAGGAGGAAAACAGGACACCTGCTGTGGGCTGGGCAGTGGGCACGCTGACAGTTCTTCACTCAAACGTTTGCAGCCTCTGGTTGTCGTTAAGAGGATGAGGACTATGGTGAGGGGTGTAAAGTGGTTTGTAGGGAACTGCAGGTTATTCCCAAGCACAGCATTGACGCTGAAGCGCTCGCTCTGTACGCCAAAACCAGTCACTAGAAGCAAAATGCTGCTCTGGTGAATTTTGATAGGACTGTTAGAAAACTAACAACATGGTAATTTAGTAGTTAATGTTTAACTGCAGCTGCTCTCCTTCTAAATGGAGGAGACTTCTCAGACTAATGTAGCCTTTGCTGGCTGACTTTTAGTCATTTTGTTGTAGATACTTCAGTTTTAAAAATACATTTTTCTTCAGGGCTGAGCTTGAAAACATTGTGGTTTTGTCTTGTTCATTGCTTTGTTGATTTACTTCATTTTCGTGTTGTTGCAGGTTGGTGACTTTATTTGTGGTGGCAGGGCCAGTTCTGTGTGACAGCTCTGTGTTTGTGGAGGCAGGATGCCTGGCTTCTCCTCTCCAGTGCCTCGTCCTTAGCTTGCTTTGAGCCTTTCTTCTTTGCTGCAGCAACATTTTTAGTTTTCCTACCGCTTTCTTCTGTTTCTTGTTGCGCGTGCGTGTTCTGCAGAACCTCCCCTGCCAGAAAGGAGGAAAGAGGCTTTTGGCTTCTTTCCCAATTGACATCTGGGCAGATGCACAGGTCAGCCAGTGAAGGGTGTGATGAAAGGCAGCACGCTGTAGGTGATGCTCTCTGGGAATCTTGCACTTGGCAGTCTCTGAGGTTCTTGCAGCAAGTGGCTCTGATGTTTCTTTGAGCCTGCTGTGCCATATGCTAGCACGTTATATTTCTGTTTTCTGAGCCATTGAGGAAAATAAGCAATGGCTGTCTGCAGTTGGAAACAGAGGGTAAAATTAAACCTACTCAGTTCTGTGTTTCTTGCTCCGAATGAATGGATAAGAGTTTATTTTTGACTGAGTAGGCTTTTAATGTTGTGCTAAATATTCTTCCTCTTACTTATTTTCTCTCCCAAAGAAATGGAAGCAGCTGTCTCGACTACAGCGGAGCGTGATTCTCTTCCTGTTTGCCTTCTTGGCGGTCTGTGGAGTCCTTTCATACACAAACATGGGGGAACCCTGGAAAAGTACGTGTTCCGTAAGCTCAGAACTGCCAGAATGTGGTGTTCTAGTTAAGAGATTGTTGTAGTTCTTATAACTAGTTTTAATTTTTATTGACAATGAGCAGGTATATCCATTAAAGTGCAGTTGTGAGATGATTTTATGTGACATGGTTCAATGACTTGTTTCTGCTTAATCAGAATTATTTTTCACATGCCTTTTCATTCTCTGTCTTGACCAGAGCAACATTTTGGTTTCATTGATTCAGATTTGGAGAGTGTGAGTGGGTTTTAAATTATGTTTGTATGTAGATATTCATAACCCAAACCTAAACAGTAGGATAAAATAATCCTCTCTTGTTTTTGACTGTCCATCAGATTAGAAATTCTAAGCTTTTCTACAATACGAAGGCACATTTACTTTTGATATTATTTTACTGCCTCTATTGAGAAGCTAAAATAATAGCAATTTTAAAAAAACATGTGCCTTTTAGCAGCCTCCTTGTATGTTAGGGAAAAAGTTAATACCAAAAGACGCGCTGTATCTAATGATTAGTGTGTGTTTATCAATATTTTTTGAATGGAAACACTTTTTGGAGGTGCATCTAGTCTGTGAATGCAGCAAACTCTTAAAAATTTCTGTCTGGAACCTAAACTGTTGACTCCTTGTGCTAAGCCATTTTGTATGTTTAGGTCTAACAATCAAATCGTTGGATGATCAGAGAACAGAACCAGAAATTCCTGGATTAAAGCTGGCAAATCCAGCTGTTCTACCAGCACCCCAGAAAGCAGATGCTAACCCTGGAGACTACCCAGAGCTTTCACCACAGGTACTGTGAGAAGATATTAGTTTTGTAAACCTATCAAAGAGTTTGTGAAAGCTGCAAATAGTGCTTGGTTCCAACAGCTGTTGAGGAGAAAGGAGTTACAACTGTCAATAAATAAAAGCTTGCTCTGGGTGGAATGCTCTCCTCTCAGGAAGGGCTTTGGTTCAGTATTTCCTGGCTTTACCTTTTTGCTTTAAGTGTTCAGTTGTACTATTTCTTAATCACTGATACACGTAGGAGTGCCAGGGCTTTACGTCACAGTGACCTCTTACTTGAGGCTTCACTTTCCTGCTGTGATTAATTTGTTTGGACTTGGAGTGCTCTGGACGTCAGTCTTGCTGTGGTGAGGAGCCTAAATAGAGTCGTGGCTGAATGTGAGACGTAGGATGCAGTCAGTGTCACACCGAATTGGAATGGCTTTACTGGGAGCTTGAAAACCAGCAGCAATCAGAGGAGATGTTAGCAGGTCTTGGAAGGTAACGTTTGTGAGGGATGAGAGGGGAAAGAAACATGAACTGCCTGTGTTGATTAGTGGAGTAGAGGAATATTGGTTACTGTGTTGCTCTTCATGTATTTACCTGATGAATTTTGGAATTTCCAGTTAATAAATTCAAAATTTTGTATTAAATTTTTCCCTCATCGTGCACAAATGCCCATGTATTACTGTATTAATTCTTGGTATTACCTAACACTGGCATTGCATAAGCTTTTTTTTTTTTTTCCATGCTTTTTGCTAGTTCTAATAAAAATATCTTTTCAATCCTTTGGCAGTGCCTTGTGTTAAATTAATACCTGGTAGCAGTAGATATAGTTTAAAAGTAATTTATCAGTGTAAACTCAAGAACTGGACAATTTTACCAAAAGTTTAAAACGAACAAAAACCCAAGGTCTTTAGTGTACGTTCCCTTCAGGGCAGGACTTGCATGCTGATACAATATCAAAATAACACCTATCTGAATATGTTTAACACTGAAATGCTTTTGTTTTATGGTTTGAAATTCTACTATCTCTGCAACATACCAAGCACTTTTTTTTTTTTTCTTCTGTATTTTCTCAGAAGCCACCAAAACCGCCTCATATTCGACGTGGTCCTTCCAATCTTCAGATCAAGCCACCACGGAGGGATGTGAGGCTGAAGACCCGACATGGTACCAGCAGGGTTGTAGAAGAGCCAGTCCAGGCTGATAAAGAAGAAAAAACGGAAAAATCTGTTATCAGGTAGAAATGTTTGCAAGTTACAGTGTTCCCCCCTGTGCCTCCTGCAGGATCTGTTGGATGTTGGAGTGAAAATTTTGAGGGCTTTTTGTTATCTGTGTCTGAGGTCGATTTCTTTCCTTGCATATATTTTTCCTCAGGTCTGGCCTGACAGCTGTTGACATTGCCAGGCCGATTCCTTTCATTTCAGTGAACGTACAGCTTTTCTGTTTTTCCTGTTTGCCTTGTAGAACTGCAGCAGATTTGGAGCCCCACAAGGCTGGTTGTGTTTCTAACATGCTTAGAGAATTCTCAATGTCTGTACGTTTCCACCATTTGTTTTGTAGTAAATATTAATGTACCAGTATCAATACAATAAGACTGTCACAGGTGTCTTTGTCCTGGGCCAGACTTGGAATATTACACTGCTGTCAGTGCTGGGTAGGGGTGTGATGCCACTAAACAGGGGAAGCCCAAGCTGAACTGGCAGAAGCCGGAGCCATCGATGTAGTTGGGTGCATGTAACTGTACGAGAAATGCTTACTCCTTCCTTACAGAAGATTAATCCTACAGTTCAAAGATCCCTTATGCAGATACAGTGATATCTTTACAGAGGGTCTGTGTTGCTGTGATTATATTTATACAAAGTTATTCCCTAAGATATTATTGATTGAAATATTTTGATTTGGGAATAATTGAAGGGATGTATCTTGGATATAGAAAAGTCTACTACAAGTTTAGCAAAGGTTCTTAAGATTTGGAACACTAGGCTTAGTTTTTTATATATGTTTGTATCCTTTTCAGCACCAGCACAGCTGAGCTGATCACAGCATCAGAACTGTACCCGCACCAGGATTTTGGCTGTTGGTTTAATCTGAAACCTCTTAGAATGACTTGAAGTGTTTTATTCTTGTGCTTCCACTTAGGCTATAACTCATAGAGTTAAATGGGTGCTAACAGGAAAAGTTAGGAGAGCAATGAAAGGGTAGTGCAGACTTGTTACATATTTAAAGAATGAAAGTAAGAAATGAAATGATGGGATTTATGTAAGTCATAAGGTGTGCTGACTGTAAACAATATAAACTTTGAAGGTTCTGTAAGCCTGGTTCCCTTAGGAGGCATATCATGCACTCAGGGGCAACATACGTATGCACTAAACAGCATGGTCGAGATTGATCTTAACATGAACTTGGCTTGACTTGAAGTCTGTTCCAAAAGACTTCTCCTTCAGGAGGTTCTTAATAAAAACTTTTAAAAACTGTTCTATGCATCTGTGGTGTTAGGGAAGGCTTGTGAACCCCTTGGTGGTAAAGCAAGTACTTTAAGTGTCTGGTCCTTTGTTCTGGTTCATTATTTTTTGATGATTATGATTTGTGTGGTGATATTTAGTGTTAGTGGCTCCTGTGATCATTTCAGAAGTGGTAGATAACAAAATACTTTTAATGCAGCATTCTCAGGTGTTTTAATTCTTTTTAGAAATTCTTTATTGAATTCCATTGCTAAGATATTTAATGAAATTCCAAGAGCCTGTAAGACACGCTTCTCAATCCAGTAAAATTTCTCTGGTGCAAATTACTTTCTTTGAACAAAAAAATTATCTAGTGGACATCGTAGTTATTTTGATCCTTGATACAAAATCCAACTCCTGTTTTATCAAAGTATCATGAGAAAAACGAAATGCAGAGTTAAGTCTCGTTCATTTGTGTAATTGTCTGGGATCAAATTCAGTCTTAATTACAGTCCCTTGTATTTGCAGCTGGCGAGGAGCAGTGATAGAACCTGACCAAAGCACTGAACCTCCTTCTAGTAAAATAAAGGAACCAGAAAAACCTTCATCTGTGGAAGCTGAAGACCAGAAGGAACCAGGTAAATAGTACAATTAATGATACTTTTATTTCTGTTCATTTTTATGGTAGAAGTTGTGCAATTCCACCTCCCGCACATTTATTTAATTTGTTTTAATTAAAGGAAACAAAAAGTATAGGAAGGATTATTTACCTAGAACTTCCAAGCCTTTCAGTGTCTTTATTCCACCATGACAACCTTCACGCTTATTACCCTTCAGAATTTTGATTCAATTGCCGTCTCAGTTTTCAGTATTGAATAAAGAGTATTCTGATGCAGAAGTGAAACCTGCCTGATGTGTCCAGTGCAACGGCAGGAAATGGTTTGCTGTGGCCATAATGGCCAGACTGTGTCAGTGGGTCGCAGAGCGCGCGTTATGTTTGCTGTTCCTTGCAGCTCCTTGCTACCTCTGTCCTCTCCTAAAGTGCATGTGTCTGCTTTTGGAAAATGCATCGGATGTCGTCTCTTAGGTGCTATATAAAATCTTATCAAGGATATGTTATCAGGACTGTAACTGCCAAGGGGCTTATTTACTTGTATACAAACTCATTGCTCATTCCCTCATGCTGTGTATTTTTGCAGCAGCATTATTTCCTCTGAAATTCTGAAACAAGAGGGTTGCAAGTAGAGAGGCTTCTGACTTTGGGCTTTGTTTCCTTGCCAGAAGATAATGTCTTCATGTTGAGTGGACTCTGGAGATGTCCTCAGTTTCACCCCTTATCTTCTGAACTTCTGGCGCTTCTCTTCCCTCATCAGTTTCTTTTCAACTCACACAAGAGAAACCAAAAGAATATGCTAGAATATTTGCACTATGGATTTTTGCTTTTTTTTTTCCTTTGTTTATGGAGGGCATACACTCAGTTCTGATCTTCTTGCCCAGCTCTTTGCTTTCCTTAAACTGTTAGAATACTATTGAAAGGAAATTTTCGTGAAAAATCTTTGAAATATAACCTCTGGGAGGAGGCAGATGTTCTCACCTTTTCTCTAGGAAAGGATAGTCTAAAGGGGCTTGAAAGGGACAACTTCCTTTTTTCAGAGTGGTTTTCCTTTTGTTCTGCAAATGCAGGGAAAGTGACTTCTTCCCTGAATTCAACAGAACTATTTTTAAGGCTCACCAGAAAGCTGTAGAAGTTGTTTTTGCAGTTGCTGTCCTCGTGGAGTAAAGAAACTGTTGTTCTGCTTTCTGGGCTCATACAAGGAAGTTCTGATATTGTGGTATATTACAATGTAATGTATTTGGCTTGTGCCAGCTTAATATATACGGAGTTAATTGTGCTGCTTGGTGTTTCCCACTCTAGAAATCTTTGTTTATAATTTTGAAAAATTTCAGCTAATGGGCTTGATGAAATTTTTCATGTTGGATGTGTAATATGAGCTCAACTTTTTGGTAAATTGTGAGCAAAAATTTCAGTAGAAACATAGCAAAAGACATAGCTTTGCCCAAGATGGAAAATGTAAATTATCTTCCTTTTTTATATTAAATGAAAAGTTCAAGAGATATCATTTTGTATAACTGATTTTAAATTTAGCAGAAAGCAATGAATAAGACAAGGAGTGAATTAAAAATAGTATGTGGTAAATGAGTCAAGCACTGTATTGTTAAGCATATGTATTCAACAGCTGAATTACAGTTGATTTAAGCTATCTTAATTCTGGTATTTCCTGACTTTCAGGTCTTTGAGCTTTAGTGATACTCATCTAACAGTGGTGCGTGTGATTATTTTAATGTTTTATTTAAAGAAGTGCCTTTTTATCACCAGGGTGAGATTGCTGTTTCCACCTGGCTGACCAGAAACACGGACTGTTTATTCTGCAGAGGAAAGGCTGTACTGAAAAGAATAACCTGAGGATGTTTTATCTGTTACACTGGTCATTTAGTTTAGAAGAAAGTTTATTTTGGGTAGAAAGCAGCAAAGTGGTGTTTGCTATAGTTGCATCACTCCCCTGCAGAAGTCTCTGCTGTTTCCCTATTGCAGTGCCCATAAACGAGCGTCAGGTGGCTGTGATAGAAGCATTCCGCCACGCATGGAAAGGATATAAGGATTTTGCTTGGGGCCATGACGAGCTGAAACCTTTGTCCAAGTCCTACAGTGAGTGGTTTGGACTTGGGCTTACCTTAATTGATGCCTTGGATACCATGTGGATTTTAGGCTTAAAAGAAGGTAATTTTTTTTTTCTTTATTTTTTCCCCTCTAAAATAATTCCTTGTTTTCTATTCAGGCAGTACATGTTCAGAGTTCTTTGAGGGGAACATTTATTGCATGTGGCCAGTTAGTTTTCCTGTGAGGTAAATACATGTATATACATAAAAATAAACAATATGTATAAAAATAAATATTAAAAAAACCCCAGCTATATTAAAGGACACCAATTTTCTTGGAATAGAATTTTAAGCCAGAAAAAAAATATTCTGCTAGTACAGATAACAATGGATATATCTACTAGAAACTCAGAAATGTATTAATAAGCCTCCTGATTATTGTTTCTGTACTAAAACCTTAGTGCTATCTTTGGGCCATCATACAGCCACTGTAGGCTTTCTACCTGTCAGTCTTAGGTAGTTAGCCTATAAGGTTGTGTTTTATCACACCTAATATCAATAATTCGTATCTGAGTTTAAGAAGGTTGTTTCTGTAAGGAATCAATGGACTGAGAAGGGGAGTGTTCAACACCTCCTTCCTGAACTGCTCTGCTGTCTGGATTTTTTCACAGTTATTCTGTAAGTGACCTATGTTAGAAAACTTTCCAACAGATTTTAAAAAACTAAGCCAAAAAATTCTGCGATTCTGTTGCAAAAAAACTTGCCTAATCACTGTTTAAGAGGTTGTTTTGGGTTTTTTTTGTGGTCCAGGTTTTTTTTTTTTTTTGGGGGGGGGGGGGTATTTAAAAATTTCTGGAACTGTATCTATTTAACCTTGGTAGATAACCAATGCACTCTTTCTATCAAGTTAGGAAGAACAGAGCTGCTAGCAAGGGGGCAATAAACAGTCAAAGTCTTTCAAGGTTCTGTCTCTTCTACCTTGAAGTTTGTGTAAAATATTAAATCAAGTGAAAACTCTGTATCATGTGTCTGCAGCTCTAGGCCTGAGCAGGCTATCTTGAAGTTTCATCAAGTTACAGTGTGCTGCCTTTTTTTTTCTTTTTTTTTTTTTTTTCATAAAAAATTAATTGTGAACTGCATAGAGCTTTTAAAATAAATTATTAGTAATTTAGATGTGTGGAAAATGGCTTCTTGGTGAAGGCTGTTTCATATTTTATAGTAGTTCTTTTGCTGATTGCCTTAGAAAGCTCCTGGGGTTTCTTCTGAATAACAGATGCTGTATAAATGAAAGCTCTGTTTGGGGCTGCTAGCCTTTCTTACAAACTGATGAATGCTAATGGTTCTGTGAAAGTGGATCTCACCTCAATTGTACTGTTAGATAGTGCTGACATCTGACAGCGGAGACTTTTCTGTGGTTCTCAGTCTGCCCAAAAACCAGTATTTATTTACCCAACATCTAAGATGTTTTTTCTTGTGAGAACACAGAGGCATCCTTTTGCTTTAGAGTTAATCTCCTGTGAAATAACTGCTGTTTCTGGGAAACTGGTTGTTCTTCTGTGCCTGCTCTAAGCAGGAGTTTCTGGAAGGTGTGAGATGGTTTCAGATAGCTTAGCCTGCACTGTTAGAGGCGTGAGCTAACTCACATGCACCATGGAGTTAGACACTGTGCAAAAGCAATCACTGAGTGATACTGATGATAAACTGACTATTGAATCCAATATGGCTTTTTTTTCACATTTCTTTTTTGAATTAGTAGTTTGATAAACAACTTTTTTTGTTTGTTTGTTTCTGGAGAAAAAATTGCAGACTGTCTGGATTTTATGGGTTAAGTTAGGAGGCAGGCTCACCAGGATATTGCTAGACTAAAGGCATTAATGGCTGTTAACTGAAAATGTTATCTGTTATCTCGGTAGATAACAGCTTTGGTTGAAAAAGATTTAATTAAAAAGTTCAGAAGGCTCTCGTGGAAGTGTAACTAATTGTCTGACAAGTCAAATGGAGGGACTTAAAAGATCTCAATTTCTGGACTGTTTTAATAAAGACCTCAATTTTTTTTTTTTAATATTTTTAGGAACTTTTCTTTTGCTGGGTATTTCTGTCTGTATGCATCTGTGGTGTGTACTGAATGAGAATTAAGCCAGTGGTAGTCAAACTTCTCCCAGCATGTGCTCTTCATTTTGGTTTTCCACCTAAAATTATGATCTCTGTAGGCAGATATAAGTAACCATCATCGTTATATGGAGTACCAATGTCTCTAGTCTAGTTGTTGGAACATGCCATAAGTTCATAACTGAGCTACCTTTTATACTTTGCAGAGTTTGAAGAGGCAAGAAAATGGGTAGCCAACGATTTAGTATTTGATAAAAATGTGGATGTGAACCTCTTTGAGAGCACTATTCGTATCCTGGGAGGCTTGCTCAGCACCTACCATCTCTCTGGAGATAGCCTCTTCCTGGAAAAAGCTGTGAGTCTTGCAAGAGTCTTACAAAAAGCTGACTAGTCTTATGAATGAAACTGGATTATGTATTCCATACTGAACAAAATTGAGGGGAAGATTCATCAGAAAGTTAAATGTTGCTGGTTTTTAACAGTTTCATATTTAAAGTGGTAGCAGAGGGATTTGTGATTAATCTTTTAAACCTGCGCTTCTTTTTGCTGTCTGGATAATCTCAGTCTTGCTGTGTTTTACCAGATATTCTTATGTGCCTGTTCTTCTGTTGATGAAGAGCTGACCATAATAAAGTTCATGAAACAAAAGAGGAAGTAGATGGTTGGCAAAGAGCAATAATTCTTTTTTGTCACCCTTTCTGTGTGTCTTAACAGCATAAGCCACCTCTTAGATTACCTAGAAGCAGTCAGTGGCTTCAGAATTGCATCATGTTGCATTGAGATTGCAGACTTAAATGAGGCATGCAGTGCTAGGAATAAGGTAGAAACTCTGTAGTCATTACTATAAATAATTTCATGACCCTTTTCAATTGGCTTTCTTGCACCGTCTAAGCTGCTATTCTCTCTTTTGCTGTCTGCTTGGTTAAAGGAAACCTCAAGGGTTGTGTGTATATATTTATTTTTTGGTTGGTTTGTTGTTTTGTCCTGTGCTCTTGGGTTTTCTTTAGAAAGACATTGGGAACAGGCTTATGCCAGCATTCAAGACCCCCTCCAAGATACCATATTCTGATGTCAACATTGGTCGGGGCACTGCACATCCACCTCGTTGGACATCTGACAGCACTGTGGCAGAGGTGACCAGTATTCAGCTGGAGTTTAGGGAGCTCTCTCATCTCACTGGAGATGAGAAATTCCAGGTATGGAAGAATCGGTCGATGTTTTTCTCTTTTTCCACCTCTCTACAGCACCACCACTGACTCTCCATCAATACTTGTGGTTTCTGTAGTTGCTCAGTGACATTAGCTGAGTTGTGAAACTCTAGCTGAGGGAAGGAAAAGAAATAAAAGTAATTCAAATTATTTTCTTAAATACCAGAAAGTAATAGAGGTGAATAATTGGTTTCCCTCAGAAACAGCTTGTGATTTGAAAAAACAAAACCAGGAAAAAACCCAGCAAAACCAAAATAAACACCTCCCTTATGCTCCCCTAACTCCCTCTGTTTTTATTGCTGACATTTTTGTTTGACACTACGTTATCAGATTTTGAAAAAATATTAAGCTAAACAGGGGACTATGAAACCGTGCCTTGCTTAATGTTGTTAGAATTCTGTGTGCGGTTTCTTGATGACATTATCTAAATGCAAAGAACAAAACCTTGGTGTTGCCATCCAAGGAACTAAAATGGGACTCACTAGATAAGAGTCTGACAGCAGGTCACAGTACAAGGAAAAGGTAGTTTAAACAAAAATAATTCCAGAGAAAGAATATTTTCCACTCTTTTTTGTTTGTTAATCTTGTTTTATTGTTTTAAACTGTATCCACAGCTCAAGTTTTGAAGAGTGTGATTATTTAAAGAAATTTTAGCTATTGCATGATTCATGTAGTTGTTATTTTAGCTGGACTTGTACTTTGTAAATTAAAGTAAGTCAGATCATAGTCCTGTGCAATAGTACTGGCTTTTGAGTGGACTTACTTGAAGGAAAGGAAATAGTTATAATTATTTTGGAGTACTTAACTGTACTAAGAACATAATGTTTTGAGAGTCAGAAAGTTTGAAGTCCTGTGTTTAATATATTGCATGAGCTGAACTTGATGTCCCTGATGCTGATTTGAGGAAGAATAGTTAAAGACTGGTTATCAGTCTGAAGTTACTAGCCACAGTTTTGTGCATCATTTATACCTGTAATTTGTGTTTACTGTTTTCTTTCTTTTAGAAAGCTGTAGATGAGGTAATGAAGCATGTTCACACCCTCTCAGGGAAAAATGATGGACTAGTGCCTATGTTCATAAACACCAATAGCGGGCAGTTCACTCACTTGGGTGTCTACACTCTGGGAGCCAGAGCTGACAGCTACTATGAGTATTTGCTCAAGCAATGGATTCAGGGTGGGAAAAAAGAAAACGAGTAAGTTCGTTCCACCTCTCATATCGGTGTGAGAATTATGTGAGCTGTAAAATTTTTCGTTGTAGTTTGCTGTTTAAAGAATAATAAAGTATGTGCCCAATAGCCGACTGAAAATATCACTGTTTTTAAAAGCAAGCTAAGCAGGCAAGAGGGACCTGTGGTAACTTGATGTAAAAACAGCATGAGAGTTAGGTTTAGTCTCAAAACGTCTCCTCCTCAGAAAACTTTTCTTCCTCAGCACATCAGATGTGAGGAGTGTTACAGACAGGAGAAGAGAATAAAGCCTTTGCAGTAGATATGGAGCACAATTAGACGCTTCTGAAATACTGATGATACATCATTTCACCAGCAGTGTCTGGATTTGTTAGGGAAAGGGTGAATCCTACAAGATGGTTGAGGTGAGAGAAATTAATCCATAGGAATAATTTAGAAAGAAGAGGAGACTGAACTTTGCTTTAGGTCTCTTATCTTTGTCTTACCTGCCCTGGATTAGTGGAAGAGAATGTTCACAGGGGCCAGAGAAATTAGAGATTTTGGAAAAGAAGGTTTCCTCTAAAACAAGACAAAAGATCCAAGCTGTTTTTGTCTGCTTATAAGCTGATTATGTTGGACTTGTTCACATTGAGGAGTTTAATGCATCCAGAGTGACAACGTGCCTCTCTCAGGTATTTCTTTATATCAGAGCAGATGCATCTCTGCAAAGGAGGTTTGCATCACTGCTTTATCCAAACCATACCTCAGGGTAAACGCAGAGCCGTTGTCTTTGGGATGATGAATGATGTCGTTTTGTGAGCCTCAAAACTGAATTATTCAACAGATTTTTTTCCACATAAAAGTACTTTGAAACAAGGGAAATTCTGATTAAATACCGTTTCACAATGAGATTGCTCAAAGTCATTGAATCTCTGTCTTTGGATGGAGATACTACTATGTCTTTAGGTGGAGATACTAAAAAATTGCTCTGATAAGCCCTCAGGCAACTTGATCTAATTGATTCTGCTTCAAAGCAGAGGGTTGAAGTAGAGACCTCCAAGAGGTCCCTACCAGTCTAGGTTTTCTGTGATTTCAATTACTGTACTTCTAAGGATTCCTAAAATAAAATCTGGTTTCTGCCTAGAAACAGAGTTGGGGATATGTTTTCTTTAATACTTAAATTTAGAGTTTACTTGAAAAGTAAATCAAATATCACTACACGGTAGCAATAACTACTTAATGTCCAGTTGATGGTGACTGTGAGGGGTTTTTTGGTCAGTTTTCACATTTGGTTGAATATTGTTCTTTAGACTGAAATAATGGTCTCCAAAAAGATTGTGCTGAATATCAGTTATGAATAAGTGTGTTCTGACTGCGTGTTTGTGAGCCAACTGGGAATTATTTTAATTCACAGGCTTTTGGAAGACTATATGAGAGCCATAGAAGGAGTGAAAAAGCATCTTCTTCAGCGATCACAACCCAAGAAGCTTACTTTTGTAGGAGAGCTTGCTCATGGCCATTTCAGTGCCAAGATGGTAAGAAGTTCAACTGTATTTGAAAAAACAACAACAAAAGAAAACAGAAAAACAAAACAAAAAAAAAAATCTACATGGACAGGCAAATGCAAAGCTTCTGTGCTGTCTTGCCCCCTTCCCTTCTCCCAAAGAAAAGAAACCAAACCAACCAAACCAACCAAAAAAACCACACCAAAAAAAAAAAAGCCAAGACTATATTTATAGACACACACACACATATATATGTGTATATATATAAAAAAAGGTACGGTGGCAGTACTGAGTAACTAGTTTGTAGATGCTAGTCACCTGTGCACAACACAGGCTGCCTCTTTGAGTTACTGCACTAAATCCATTTATGTTCCTGCAAGATTGAATATTTTGGTGCTGCAGTTTAATTTTCTTCCTCTTTTTTTCTGTTTTGGTCATAAAATCCCGGTGTCTGAAGCTGTTGAGGCAGCGCCCGTTTTATGTATTTATTATTTTTCATAATTCAAAAAATATGTGACACTTGCACACCTGGCTTCTCAGGCTTTCCTTCAAAAGAAGCAGGTGATCTAATATTGTGTTATTGGTCCCCCCCCAAAAAAAATAAATTGATAATTTTGGGGGGTTCGGTCCCTTCATGACATTTGTTTCTTTTCTTGCAAGTAGAATTCGTGAATTAAACAATATGCTGTTT